TACTTTGATCCCGAACATACATGCCCCCCCCCCCCTTCCTGCCTGTCCCTCTCTCTTTCTCTCTCTGCCACTACAATATACGAAGTACCTCCCTCACATAGTCTAGACGGTATTACATCTATCACTAGACTTTATATTTCTTTCACGACTCAGTCTCTGTTTCGCGCGGTCTCGTTTATATTTTCTCGCCCCTTCTTCCAGGGCAACGGGAGTCACTTCAATACTTCCACACGCCAATCCACACCTCCAGGTGATGATTGTGTATGGTACGTTCCAGTCTTACCAAGCTAGCCTACTTGTAAGCTGCCGAAGTACATTGTCCAGACACAGATAAGCTGGGGTGGGCGCGGCATCGAGACGTACGAGAATACGCGGAAACAAGGAATTCGCCACCCATTCCGGTGGGAGAAGGGCTGAACACGGGAACAGCTGCACACAAACGTATCCCCGCGACATCGCCAAGGTCCAGTTGTACCTTCACTGACCAAACCTCGGCCCAGTCGAGGGCCAAACCGCATTGGGTGCACAGGGCGGCTTCAGCACCAATTCGTGCGCTACAAGGGGCGGGGAGGGCCACCGCATGCAGCACCACTCAAGCAGCTGGGAGTCAAGAACTTCAGGCAACAAACAACATAAAACTACGAATTTGACCATATGGACAAGTCCTCAGGTAAGAATCATGCTCTATTAGTCGACATTGAGCTGGCCCACAGAGGACGAATACCGTGGGCCTGCGGCATGATATGAGGATTTTATATGGTAGTGCGGAATCAATTTAGGAATCGCCACGAGTTATGTTGGTTGAAGGAATCGATTACCGGAAGGAGTCGAACGTCGACTTACAAACAATAGTACCAATGTCAACAACCAGAAGGCTTCATGAAGCTAATCGTTACTGTCGTGAAACAAAGGCGCGGATACAGGCCTAGCCAGAGCAGTATTCACAGTCCTGGAACTCCAAGTCCCGGCACTCTTGAGGCCGTGGGCAAGCAAGCGCTTGCCAAGATCCAACGCGAGCAACAACGGCAGAAGTCACAGCAGCAGCAACACAACACGCACACAAAGTTGTCCAGCTCAACGCCGAACCTGATACGCCCCGCCCTCGATGGCTTTACGGATCTCGGGAACGAAAAATAATACCCGCACACCATGCAACATGGGAGGTGTCCTCACTACATAAATGCTGCACGCGCACCCGCTTACCTTCAGAAGTTCGGCCGTTGCGTCCTCTTCCGGCTCGGTACTCAGCAACGAGTCAAACACCGCGGTTGCTGCCGTGGCCCACGTGTCCCACGTGTCCAGCACGTCGTCGCCTTCCGCGGGAAACCTTGCGCCTCCAATGAGTGGCAGTGATGACAGAAGCGTAAGGTCTCTCGCGGAAGGCGACGATGTCCTGAATACGTAGGTCATGGCAGCACCCGCGGTGTATGCCTCGATGGTGAGCCCCGAGCCGGAAGAGAGCAAAACGGCGGAGCTCCAGGAGGTAAGCGGGTGTGCGTGTAGCGTAAGGTCTGATCTAAAGTTTGCTGCTTGTAGCGAGGACACCCTCTCAGCTACTCCCGAGCCCAATGGCGAGCAGCTTAGGACCACCAAAGGCCTGGGTGGGCATCGATGTTGACTCCAACAGTGTTGGGCCAGCTGCTTCCGTCGCCGTTGGTCGCGTCCTTCTTCTGGCCCAGAACAGCAAAGAGGCATGAGCACGAGGGAGGTCCTGGAATATGGAGGGTGCGCGAACGGCGTGAGTGAATCTTAATCACGAGGAGCACGAACCACCGCCAACGCATACCATAGCACGCATGCAACGGTTGGACGTGAAGTCTTCCAAGGAGCATCGAATCAGCGAAGGATGCCAAAACTAACTAAAACGTGACACGAGACATGGAACAAGCACGGCGCCAGTTTCCACCGAGGAAATTGCCGATACCTTGCTGGCAGGTCCCTCGTTATGTGAGTGTCACTCCGGTGGGCGCTTGGCACCCAAAGTCACTCGGAGGGCCGCCGGCGATCTCGCTCATCTTGTCGACCTCGTGACTTTCCTAGTCACAGCGCGTGACTCGCCACGTCCCACGTCAAGTCTCGCGTCGGAAAAGATGAGCAGGATCGCGGGCGACCCTTCGAATGAAATTCGGTGCCAAGCGCTCACCCGAGATACCCCGACAATAAGGCACCTACCACCAAGGCATTTGCCATGCCGATAAAATCAGGTCACGACGTGCGTGCAGCAATCTTCTGCACATCAGCAGCGCTTATTTCTTTTGCGCTAGCGCGTGGTGGGAAAACGATCGATAAGATACTTGCGAGAGGTGCCGAACGAGGGGTATCCTCCCGGGGGGGGTACATACATACATGTGGTTCACCCCGAAACGATGTTGTTGTTGCTGTTGTTATCTCCACATAAAAAAACGTTCCGATCTCTCTATCCAGTACCTCCATCTGTCCGTA